AGCATTTACAGGATTTACAGAAAATTACCTTTAGCTATAGACGATTGCGGAAGGATAAAGTGAATTTTATAGGAATTTCTGGCTGTTCCCCCGAGTCCCAACCCCACAGAGCACAAGCACCGGCTGATTTAATTTGCTGCCCGTATTAATGGAGTAGAAACTGCACCCCACTGCATCCCGGCGAGCATCCCTTCGCCGCCAGCTCAACATCCACCTCCCCACGCACGCCCACCCCTGTGGGCTTTGCCTTCGAGCCCCGGCGACCTCCTCGGAGTCTTAAGAGAGCGAAAAGCAGCATCTCTCCTCCGGCGCTGTTTTTCGGGAGCGGTTTGGGTACCGTGGGTTATCACGACTCGGATTTTAAAGATGGAGAGAGCAAAAGGGCTTGTTAAAGGCTTGCAAAGCCGGGGGCGGAGGTTTGCCATCTCCTTCTGCTCTTTGAAGGTGTCCTGCTATTTCTTTTAATTAAAAAAACCCGATTTTTAAAAGTATTTAACACTGAAAAAAGCAGGAGCCATCTCATCCCTTTCAAACCCCAAAGACACGCCTGGCTGAGGCTGCAGGGCAGAGCTGCAAAGTCCCGTAAGCAAACGAACGCCGGAGCTTAAATCAACCCTTGACGGGGAAGTTTTATTGCCGAGGGCTGTCCCGAGCGAGCCCTGGTGCGTCTCTGGGCTGGCCGCACATCAAAGCTCGCCGCTCCCTGCCCGCGACTCGGGTACTGACATCAAAAGGTCGGTAATGGGGAGCAGATGGCTCCCTGCCGGCTCCCGGCGCGGCACCGGCACGGTGGCGTCACCGAGCCCTGCCACCTCCCGTCGCCAAGCCCTTCCCCATCACCAAGCCCTTCCCCATCACCAAGCCCCGGGTTCGCCGGCACACCCGGATTTCTCTTAATTCCCCGAGCCAGCCCAAGGAAGGATTTATTTTCTACGCGGGTCAGTTTGGTAACGACGGGATTTTAATTCAGCCCTCAAAGGCTGTCATAAATTATCAGCGCTAATTAGCTGCTTAAGTAGAGCCAGAGGAGGGGTTCGGAGGAGCTTGCAGGGAAGCGCTGCAAACGCCAAGTAAAGATGCGTGTAAATAAACGCGTAAAGAAAGTAAACGCAAAAATAAAGCCTGGCCTGGTTGGATTAAACCTGGGACTAAACGCTCCTGGGATCTCGAGCTCCACCGCTTCCCACCACAACCGCAGGAGCTGCCTGGGCTGCGGGGGTGACCTGGAAGGGGAAAATGGCACTTTTTGGGGACCGGAACAGGGAGGAGAAGCCAAACCCCGGCTGACGCGAGCCGATGCACGGCTGCAGTCCCTGCCCCGGGCGCAGGCACAGTGCTGCCTACACCAGGCAGCCAGCACGGTCTGGCAGCTCAGCCGAAATCCCGCTCCCCTTGGCCGGAGCACACGGGATGGGGGGGAAAAATCAGCGCCAAAATTTGTAGGGGAAGGTAAGGAGGAGAAATAGAAACTATATTTCTAAGCTACTACTTGTGCAAAGGTGCTAATTTCTCCTTATGCTAAAATGACTCTTTATTTTAACATTAAAACCTCCTTATCGAAGGCCTTTAGCCTGCCTTGACGGGACCGCAGCGCTTCCCCCGTAGCCCCTCCGAAGCGCTCGCGGAATCCAAAGCCGTGCTGCCCGCCAAGGAAAACCGTAACGCAGGAGAAGATCCCCAAAATGGTGGTATTCACATTTATCGGCCTTGCCGCTTAATGCAAAAACCCTCCGGAGGAGAGGTGGGGATGGAGAGGTGGGCAAAGATGCTGTTAGGGGAAAACCAGCCTGGGTGGGAGGGGAGCAAGAAGCCAAATGCGGTGGGAAATTTGGAGGAGCCTTTGCATGATGCTCGTCTCCGGCAGCACGGGACAAGGCTGCCGGGATCTGCTCCGCCGATGCCGACCTTCCCGTGCTCTTCGGGAGGTACCGATGGGCAGAGACGCAAACACATCCATGCAATAAATCCGAGCTTTTTGCATCTTAAAAGGATGCAAAAACTTCGGCACCCAGGCCCGGGTCATTGCCAACCTCCCCGAGCGCTCCGCCGGGCCACCCTCTCACGAAACCCTTTTTCCAGGGGAAAAAGCGGGTTTTAAAATGTGCTTTAAAGGGAAATAGCGAGTGTGGCTTGGCGTGCCTCTTGTGCCTTTCCATCAAAATCACTATACCGGCGTGCGAGCCGCCGCCCGGGCGGACATCAGCCGCGGCGACGCCGGCCATGCCGGGGCTTTGATTGAGGGTATAAGGGAGCAGGTGATGCTCGGAAGCGCGTTGAACACGCTCCAGAGGAAATAAATCCGTTTGCATCTTAAAAGGATGCGATGC